CCAATAGCGGTGATTATGAAGAATACAGATTACACACCCATAACGGATTTTGAGATGTGAAAGCTTAGGAATATAAACTCTAAATATAAACAATACTATTTAGGGTTATTTTTAACATTAAGATTGATAAGGTAGAATACACTACTTATCGAATAAAGTAGTTCAAAATCATTTGAATTTAACATCAGCTTTACATGATTATCTCAAAAGTCGAGAGTTAAACATCGTTTACACTTAATTAATTAAGATATTTTATTGCTTCCAGCCCAGATATGTTGTAAAGATATTATTTTGAATGGAAAAAATGATCTTATTATTGTGTATCGCATATGCTCAAGATATTTTTCTACCGACAAAAAATTAATGTAGTGGGCTGCAATATATTTGAAAAGAATGTTATGGGGCTAAGACTAGTCGTAAGCAATTGCAAATGGAAATGTATGGCTGCTAATCACTGTCTAGAAACGTTTTAAACATTTTTTGGATACTCACCAGTTAAACCTATATAAAACAAGAAGTTGCTGGAACAATGCACAGTTCAAGTTAAGAATTCTTTATTATTATCAAATACAAGGCACTGAATTAAGTGGTTATCATTACCATACGATTCAATAATCAGGAAACAGGTACAGTACTGCTGAATAAAAGTTTTACAAATAAAATTATAAAGCCAGTGATAAAATTGCTAGTCTGTATCATATACCTGTAAATAGTTGTAATAGGTAACTAAAGCATTGTTACACAAGAAGTAACACGTATAGTCAATCTTTGATCAGTCTTCCGATCAAAAAGTGAATGGTAACAGACCTCAGTGGACAAGTTAGATAATTTTATTTATTTTAACAGGTATTTTTCTTGATTAGAACACTTCGTATAACGATAGTTGAAATTTTATTATTATTTCCTTTATTATTACAACTCTTGTTAAAGCTTACTGTAACTTTAATGTATCTTGTTAATTCGAGTAAAGTTTGTCTGGCAGCATTAAACATATGAATTACTTGACATTTAGGAAAACTTTTGAGAACATTAATTTATTAATGTCTAAGATTAAAAGTGAAATAATAAGGCTAATAAAAAACAACGTGATTCAAAAAAGTAATAGTAAATATATGTTTTAAATATGTTGTACTATTCTTGACTAGTTAATAGAATGTAAGCTTTAATTTTCAGCAGTAACATTCATATGACTATTAGTTTAGTATCACATTGTAAGGTCAAAATGACATGAGTTTGCAAGTGATATAATTAATTTCAATAAAATCTTGTTTGAAAATATGTGAATCAGTGGGGGGAATTATATTAGTCACTTAATCAATACGGCTGAGTCAAGCCATGTAGTCTACCTACTCAATTACAAACCAAACCATTTACTCGGTTTCTGAAAACGTACAAACATTTTCCCGACTTTATTCACTATTTCCACACTAGCTATGTAATCAGACAATGCTAACTTAGATAACTTAAGTGCCCCCAAAAGCTCTGGTACGGCCGAGAGTGGGGTGAGTCAACCCTTCCTCTCGAAATGCTCTCACATGGCCACGTGCATACAACCACTGCCAGGAAAGTCCTACTCACTGCCTTCTCACGGCGGGGTGTTGCTTATAAAATTGATAGGACGAAAAGCGAATATCCGGCGCTTTTACCGGATTGGTGGACACGGAGAGTTCACCTAGGGGAGTTGGAAAACCCTGACTCCAAACCAATGGTGTACACGGGCTCCAGTATCCTGCCTGAGGGAACGAATGGCGTACGAACCTATTGTTGGTCACCGGCTACCATGGGACTGTATCTCCTGACGTTGCTCCACTGAATTGTGGATCAGACCGTTAGGTCGAAGGCCACGGGTGTGGCTCCCTAAGAAAACCACCTGCTTCGGTTTGGGCACCCGGGCAGTACCTCAAACCTCATGCAAATCGAATGATTTATGTGGCGCATATGTATTTGGTGCCTCCTTGTACCAATGTCTATGTGTTCAAATAAAATAATAAATAAGACGTTTTAAGTAATATAGCAGCCAAAACCACTTCACTCATTCTGATTGCTGGCTGGTATCACTGACCAGTAACCAGTATCGTGCTTCACTTCATGGTAAAATCTGACAGCCTAGCTTCGAGATTCAGTACGTCGTTACAATAAACTTGATGTAGAGTGATATGAAACAATTTCCAAGATGCTTTATGTAAAACATTCTAGAATCAATTTCTGTAACCGTGAAGATAGACAAAGCTAGCTTAGATTCAACAAGCATATATTTGGAAATAAGTCGTCTACTATTTGCGTAGAACTTAAACCATTCACAAATTTGAGGGATCAATCAAAAAAGGATTATAGAGCATTAAATTGATACATATGGCTGAGCTAAACTGAAACCTATCAAACTACAACCGGATTTATTTGAATTCTGTCCCATCTGCCAAACCTTATTATCAATTGTAATATGTAGTCATAATACTATTAGTTATGTTTCACAGTAGGTGGAAACACAACATTTAGTTCTGAAAACAGGAGGGAAGAATCGTTGTCGACTGAATAGAGATCATATCAAGACCAACAAACATTAAAAAATCTATGTACTATAACTTGGGATACACCTAAATATCTGAGATATTGTCCAAGCAGAGTATGACATGAGCATAAATTTCTAACTCTCCGGATCTGAATAACAAAATAAACAATAAATTTACATCCACAGTCCACAGATTATGTATCTTTAACGCTGATCAAACATCGGCATAAAACGGGAGTTAAACAATGGCCATTTCATCATTTTAGCAACACCAACAAGCGTAATATATTAAATAGCGTTCCACAGTTAACATTCTCAATACAATTTACGCTTATTCTTATAAAAACTTTCTTTTGGTTACTCGTTGAAATAGCTTAAAAATGGCAGTGAGTGAGCTGGAAAAACACTAACCAGAATAAACAAATTAAACTGCACTGGGAGTTAAAGGAAGAATTATGATGTCTCATGGTGGAAGCCGATATTCTTAGGAAGTCACAGGGCCAATATTATTTCTAATAACCAGAGTAACCAGTAATATAAGTGTATGGGATGTCCTGACAATGTGGGATTACGAAGACCTTCACGTTTGAGGGGAAGCAAGAAATACAAGGAAAACTTGCAGGTAACTTGAAAATTCTGAATTCTCAAATGACCCAGAGCATCTATTCCGAACACACGAGCGAATGCAGATGAAGACAACCAGTGCATCAACAGCCTCTGTATCACTGGGCCACAACATACACAAGGGGAAAACCAAGATCCTCAAACACAACACGGAGAACACCAATCCAATCACACTTGATGGAGAAGCTCGGGAAGATGTAGAATTCTACACGTATCTGGGAAACATCATCGATGAACAGGGAGGATCCGATACAGATGTGAAGGCAAGGATTGGCAAAACATGGGGGCCATTTCTACACTTCAAAAACATGTGGAACTCGAAACAACTGTCTGGTAGCCAACATCAAGGTCACAATCTTCAATATGAACGTCAAGACAGTTCTACTGTATGGAGCTGAGACTTGGAGAACTACCATAACCATTGTCAAAAATGTACAAGTATTTATAAACCGTTGTCAACGCAAGATGTTCGTTGGCTGGATACTATTAGCAACAGATTACCATGGGAAGGAATAAACCAGGTTCTAGATGAAGTGGAAATTAAGAAAAGAGGTTGGGATTAGATAGGACGTACATTGCGAAAATCACCAAACTGCATCACGAGACAAGAGATAAAGTGGAATCCTGTAAGAAATCGGAGAAGAGGAAAACTAAAGAACACACTATGTCGGAAATCGGTAGCAGAAGTGAAAAGAATGAATAGCAACTGGAAACGAGTGGAAAGGATTGTCTAGAACAGGGTTCGACGGAGAATGCTGTTGGGCGGCCTATGCTCCTCCATGAGGGGTAACAGGCGTAAGTAAGTAAGCCGTCAAATTTATAATTATGCAAATAACTGAGTCATCGTTACTAATTTAAGCAAAGTCATATAAAAACACTATTGGATGAAGATTAACGAAAGATAAATATATAGACTGTTTAAAAATTAGGATAGAAGTCTTTAAAACCCATATTGGACCCTAACCCTATTATTTATTTACACGTAAATGACAATAAATGCATATTTTTGAACGTAATAGTTAACTGACGCTAAATATGATTGTAATTTAGTAGAGACAGCTTCACATAAGAAAAACTGTACATTCTTATACAAAGTTTGAACTTTTTGAACTGTATCAATACTCAATCGTACAGAGAGAGGATGAATAAAAGAGCAAATATCTGAGCACGGAACATAGGATACAACCTGAACTATCTCATTAATAAAGGTTAGAAAATGCCTCATTGTCAAAAATTTCATGAAAAATCAATGTACTAAAAGTTTTGTGATCTATGTTCTATGAAAATTAGACAAACAGTGAATCCAGCTCTGTTGAAAATACAAATGCCACTTATAACATTATTAAAATCTCTTAGTCACATGAAATTTCAAAGTAACGGCTGTGAACTAGTATTATCGTTTGTCAGTTCTAATTTAGATGTCTCTAAATAAATACAGCGGTAACTGCGAAAATAAAGGAGATAGAACACATCTATTATTTAAGTATTACTAGTAATATCAGACTCTGGTAGATATAAAGGCTTTCAAAACCACAACATACTAGTTGCAAATGAAGTATATAAACCTTTTAATTAAACCTCAAAACTGAAGAACATAATGTTTAAAACAATAATAAGATAACTCGATAGTGTAGACAGACATCACTTTGTTTTACACATAAAGTATTCTTGATTACCAGTAACTTTAAATTGAAAAAAGTTTTCGGAGTTAAGAATTCTCTTTTCGATTCCTGGATATTACGATCAAATGACGAAATATACCTTAAAAGGCTATGTACCCATTTTTCATGGTATTTGGTATAAATACATTTGTATGAGTAGGATAAACCCTATGTTATTGTAGTAAGTACAAACAGTTTTAAATTACCGGTGAGTAGGAGCCTTTCTTCTGGTTTCCCACAAGAAACATTAACAACCGTGTCGAACAGATATGCGCGACCTTGGCTTCCTTGAAACGACTTGGAAATAAGATCTTGATGACGAGCAAGGTGAGCACGACAATGTACACAACTGTATGTACGGTCATCAGTATCGCTACTGTTACTGCAACTACTGTTGCTGCTGTTGCTTCGTGTTGAGCTGTTTCCTTGTGCTCCTAAGTAGACTTGAAATGTCTTTACCATGACAGTGGTCTGGTGAGAAAAATCACAGAAAACCGTTTGCGATTAAATAAAAGAAAGAGATCTTTGGATATGTACACAAATTATGCACACAGAAGAATCTGAGTTAACACTTACGATTATATACATAGTCTAGTTCATATCCTAAAGCTACTAAAAACGAATAGCTGCGTTCGAAAGCTGAATGACTATCAGATGTTAGTTTTTCTCAGTTTATAATTTAGGTATGTACCAATCATGCTATTTTGCGATTGCACAAAACAAACAAAACGAGTCTCTTTTTAAACCAATGAATAGATGATAGATCTTAACTGTGAGGTAATCAGCTTAAAAAGCCACATGATATTAAAAAACACTAGTTGATTCATTGTATAGCGCTTCAAAGCACTGAATATGCAAATGTGGTACAAAAGCCTACATAATAAGATAAATTTGCTTATAGAACTCTATCAACTTTTGATGAGTATGTAAATGATGTACAGTACAGCAAATTTCATTACTACAAGTTCCTTAATCTTCTAGATTAAATGGCTCCAGTGTCACGGATGGTGTAATCTCGCAAAACTTGAATCTTTCGCAAATTTTCTTCAATATTAGATGAAAACAACATCCAAAAATATTATGAATTATAGCTAAATATTGTTTATTGACCATAGTACCACATATATTATCAGTAAACTATCTCGGTCTATCTAACGTTCCTGAGCTTACACAATATAAACGTGATCGCTTAACCTAACTAATACAAATAATTAGCAAACCGAATGTGTACAGCAATCGCTCTGGGTTATAAGTGCTATATATATATATATATATATATATATATATATATATATATATATATATATATAAACAAGATATCCAATTTGATCTATAATAAATTGGCCAGCAACAATGACTTTTCGGTTATGGCGTCGACTTATAAGTCGACGAAGTGATCAAATTAAATTTTGTCGCAGGGATTTTTTCAATACTTGATACTTTCAAACATTGAGGACCCCAAAATTGGATAACGAAACATGTCGCTTTATACAATTACTTGAGATATCACTCTACAAAAGATGAGGTTATATTCCGCCAATAACAACACAGATATTATCGTCAGTTATAGAGCAATAATTAATGGACCAACAAATTCATCATAAGATCGTACCTAAATCATGAGAATGATGAAGGTATAATAAAATTGTTTGAAATAAGTAAGCCGAAAGCAATCAATAGTCAATAACTCTTTAGACATTTAGAACGGAGTTTCTGAACAGGGTTTAAAGCCTTTTAATATCTCAAGTTGAAATCGTCCAAGCAGATTAGTATCTGATTTAAATAGCCAGGCCGGTACGTACAGTTAACAAGATCAATAAAAAGTGTTAATATGGTGAGAGGAATATGCGTAGCTACTGTAAAAGATCGAATTAGTCCCATAACAATAAACTAAAAAAAGTATAATCCGTAAAAATCGAAGAATGTATCCGGATACACAATCATTAACATGCGTACGCACCCATTAGCTACGTGCAGTTCAAAAATCTCTGCGTAGAAGCATTTACCTTTAAGAATCAAACAAAAAAGCCGACAGAATCGCTTAAATAATTATCAAGCTTTGCATTTCACCTTATTAAAAAATTTAGTACGACAAATACCAGTAACCAGATTTCGTTTGTGACATTCAACAAAGTCAAACTGAGTGTATATTCACATTAAGAGTTGCTTAGTGCTAAAAACTTACCAGATGTCGATGTAAATTGATTTTAAAAGGATAAAGTACGACAAACATATACCTACTTCATCGAAATCCTCGACCTTTCTGATACAACAGCTGATTGAAGGTTATTTCGTCAGTTATGAAAATTCCGGTACACAGAGTAAATGCAAAAATGCTTCGTATAAACAACGTTTAACAAATACAAGGTTACAAACTATTACACCTAAAAAATCGAATGTATTAAGCCATTCGTCAGAACTACGATTTTCAGTTAAACGTAGAAGCATGCACAATGTATGTCTGTTGTTCTTCGTCCAGGCCACTCCACCAAAATGGAAGTTGTGAAATAAAGGCAATAGCCAGTCTTCAATACTGATGAAGGCCTCATCAGCTTCACTGGAATCACACTAATTTTAGGCACTTGGTCACGCATCTGCATCATATCACGAGTGGGTACGCTGTGCTACCCATCTCTTGCAACTTTTGTTAGTGTTGATCAGTCTCTTCTTGATACATCGGCAACTTTCCAAATATATCTTCGGACTCATTCACCCCTGATATATTATTTGACTGAGTTTATATCTCTCGACCATGATGGTGGTATGGAAAAAAGTGTTGTCAAACCCCAAATACCTGTGGCATCTTTAGTATCACGAGTGGGTCATACCTAATAAATCTCTTTAAGAATGTCTTAAGTGCAGTTTGGCAATAATAATCCTCAAGAATAAAAAACATTTGACAAATATAATCTTAATCCACTTTAAATCTCCATACATCAGCCTTACACCAATTTTCTGATTGAAGCTACACATCGATCGTTAAAATCAATTGTTGTATTGGGTGTCCTATATTAGTTTGCCTAGCTGACTGGATATTTTCAAAAATTGTATTTCAATCTCTCTTCAAAATGCTTGGGATCTCCTGTTGTTTATGATCAAAACTTACAATACTGTAATCTTAAGCCCCATTCCTCAGTATTTTCCGTGATCTATTACCGCATTCCCCCGACTGTTAACTATCTAAGCCTGAATAGATCTCATGGAAACTTCGTTGCAAAAAAAACATTAATCAACCCCCTTATATATTAAATATTACTCCAAATGTGATTCTGTGCTTAAAAGTGTACAATATAAGTATTACATACAAATCAGCGAAACTCCTATCAATAGCAGTCCTAGAAAGTCAGTAAGCTTGCTGTTTTGATAAGTACACCCAATAATTATTAAGTCTAGAATTTGACGAGTTTCAGTGTACCTGCGTCGTTGGTCATCTAAACTAGTTGCTTTCAAGACCAGATAGATCAACAGAAGGTGACTGCCAATAACTTCCTTGTAGTAAAGTGGCAGGTGTTCAAGAAGGCACAGAAAAGGTGCAATTGGAAAAAATATAAGTACAGATAGAGTTAATCCTACCTAAATAACACATTCCGTGACATGTACAGACGCATGGTAAAACCCAGTTACCGCAACAATGCAAACATTCTTTCTAGTCAGTGAAGAATATTCTACGCAAATCAAAAGAATAGGTTGATTCAATTTGCACCAACGATAAACAATCGATGATAAAGTAACAAATACACAAAAAACCCAACAGAAGACATTCATAAAACAAATACGGAATATTCTTGATTATCAGTAATAAAGAACTGAAACAACCAGCTCACACAACCACAAACAAAACCCAGCACTCTGATATGGCAACCGTCAAAAAACCATGTAAAATAAAATAACGATGAAACAAGTCAAAGCGAAGGGTTATTAGCGCTTCAGATGTCTTAAAAACATACAAGAACGATAAGTTGAAGCAAACTGAAAAGAAACAAAATATGGATTAACTCAATCAATAACAGACAGAAAGTTACGTATAAAGAAAGAACAGAGGAAAATTCATGGGAAAACATACATAAATTGATTTTTTCATATATTCTTACAGACACATACAAATAAATTCAACAGCCATGTAACATAAATAAACTAAACGAACCCTATTTCATTGGAACTTATTCTGTATAATTACATATACGTATATAACTGTGTTTAACTGTATATATGTATTGTGGACGTCTCCCGTATTCTAGCTAGCTCCAATTTACTATCTCCCTAAATTACTTCACAGCACCTACCATACAGGACACCACTAAGCCACCTTTTGTCGTACAGTATTAAATCAGGAAACAGTCATGATGGTTTGGACGATGTTGTACTATAAAATGTTATAGATGACTGATTGTTCAAGTAAATTTAGATATGATATCGTTTGATCCGTGAAGGAAAAGAATGCAAATTCAACTCAACAAAAAGTTGAATATCTTTCAATCAGTAAACTAAATATCCAAGAGTACAAATTGAAGCAATTGCAAAGCACATTGAACATTTTATTCTATGGTGAGTCTGACTTCAATATCAAATTCCAAAGCGCATACTATTTATGCAGGTTATACTATTAAAAGTACATTTCAGTAGGCAAACAAGTGATGAAGAAAATAATTATGATCAAAAGTTCTGCATGGAACGAATATTTGATTGCAATTAATCTCTGATATTAGGCAGTTGAAGCCAATTATTAAGAATTCTGAGTTTGAGTTTCGTATGAGTTGACGGGATCCAAATCGATGTTCCTGAAATTTTAAAAGAACAGATACTTGCTTAATTACTCCAGCCTCGAAAACATTGGAAAAGTGGAACATGACGTCGGACCTCTTAGATTATTATCCACACTGTAACCCGATCGATAGAATTCAGTCATTATTCCAGGATAAAAAAAGATGATATTAATTGCCATTCTAAAAGAGACCAGTTTAATACTTCATGGATATTTTTGAAGTTGGTTACATGTAAAAACTAGATCAATAAATTTATTAAAAAAGGACATTACATCACAGAACACACATTCATTCTTTGAAAAATTTTCCATTTCGAAACCTTTGTAGTGAAACTAATTATCTAGAAGGAACTCAGTGGTGTAATCCGAGGAAATAAGAACCAGGAAGACTCTGAAGATCATTTAATGAACCATTATTTATCGCTTCTATATAACCTGAGATCGATTTGTACCTGTCGAAAGGTTATTATGTTTTATTAGTAAAAAAAGGGAAAATAAAAAACGTGATCCATGTATAATGTTCGTAAAAATCAGCAATAAAGAATAACTTGGAAAATGTATGGACATTAAGTGTCTTGATTTCCAGCTTTTCAGTGGAGTTTGGAATGTTTTCCATCATGGATATATATGTCAGGTCGAAATAGATATTAGGCAGAGTTGAACTTCCGAAACGGTCTAATGTGAGGTTATCGTCTGTATT